ATAGATAGATAGATAGATAGATAGATAGATAGATAGATGGATAGATAGATAGATAGAAAACAGGTTATGGAGAAGGACGAAGAACAGCAAAAAGTCTTGAGTGAATAGGCTTGTGCAAATTCCCCAAACAAACCACAATCTGGAAGAGGCAGTGGAGCGGAAGCCTTAACTACACTCAACAGATCCAACGACCTTACGTCACTGGATCCAGGGGGAGATAAATCTGGGTCAATCATTCAGTCTTGCCTCTTTCCTTTAGTCTCTTATTTTCTACTTGAGTTGTCCGCCCCTAGTTTGTCCAGTTCTAGCCTGGTGTTCTCTCCCGATGACCACAACTCTCCCTGTTGGTCCAGTATCCGGAGAGCCATCCCCTGTCCCCGCACTTCTCCCCAGTCGACTAGTTCCGAAAGTCAGGACGTCTGAGTGGACGAAATGACACCGATACGAGACAGATTTCAACTCTGATCGGTCTCGGAAGAGATGTTGCTTCTGGTTCGTCTGATGCAAACGGACCAGTCTAACCTTAAATAAGACTTGTTATTATAAAAATATCGTTAAAGTAGTGCTTTACTAAAGTATTAAGTTAAACATTATCCTAAATCAGCCCCGAGTGGCACACTTTATACGACAATTTACCATTACGTCATGAAATAGTGTCAACACGTCAGCCAGTCCCAAATTCAAGGATCTATCTGATATTTTTTTTTCGTTTTGAGTTACTAATACCAAGAGATCAGAAACCAAATGAAACCAAAGGGTCTATCTGCTCTATCAAAATCGTAAGATAATTCGGAGCCGTTATCAAGACATTCAAAGAAGTGCATTCGCAAAAAACTTGACCATGATGTTAAACTCAAAATTCCTTACTTCAAATTTCTCAAAACTAAGTATCGAACTTTATAATTAGAGGGTAAGAGTTTAAGTCATTTATTGAAGATCTGAGAATATTACAGAAAGAGTGGGCATCTAAAAAAATATGTCTTGGACACTAGTTATTTTTCTTTAATTAAAAATTAGGACTTGAATGATGAAACAGAATGAAATTGTGTTGCAAGGTGCCCCTCGAGGTCTTTATTCGAATAACAGTTTTATCTGGAAGTCCACGAAAACTGACGATATAATCAATAAAACCACTTATAATAATTTTTAAATAAGTGTTTTACGGCGCTCGCAACTGCATAACGTCATATGAGTGCGCAGGACACTTTAAACATTTTCAGTTGGTACGAAATTTTTTATTTTGCCCGGATGGCGGCCTAAGCCTACTCTTATCGATTTTAGACCACCAAGGGATCTTTAACATGCGCAACTTGCACACGGGACCTCCAACATTTTTTGCCCTTGTCCGAGACGGCTAGGTGTAGATCTTTCATACCAGAAGATCAGGTGTGTGGCTGAAAGACAGCAGTAAGAAGGAGCCAGCGAGTAGCAGTAGAAAGGCTGAAGAAAGAGTCAGACAGGAGCCCAAAGGAGGGCAAAGGAGGTGAGGTGGGAGAGGGCAGAAACTGGAGACGAAAGTAGACTACAGAACGTTTCTAATAGAGAGCAGGAGAGGAGGTGAAAGAAGATAATTTTAGAGAAGAAAATTGTTTCCATAGCTACCCGGATTCGAACCCGACCTCTAGGCCACGAGAGCCCCCTAAACCACTTATAAGAAAAAGAACTTGACCCGGGACTGTGCCTCGCTTTTACTTTAACCCTCAACTTTATCCATCGTCAGCATGGTGGTATCATTGGTTTATTCGTGCAATTTGAAATACAAGGTGCGACAGGCAATTATCACTTTGTATACACCTCTTTCTGGGGAGGAAACTCGCTGTAAGAGTTTGAGGAGTACCAAAGTCAACATAGAAAAATAAAATCCACCAACTTCTCCTGCACTGGAATAATCAAACATGCTTTCTTTTCAGAAATTGATTAAGACCTGACAGATCAAAATTGGTTTCTACGCGGAAAATTAAGGTCATACTTGACATTATGCTCATTGTGCGAAGTGAGAAAGCGATGCACTCCACTTAATAAAGATCCTTGTTGCCACAACAATGGTTCGTCCAATTGCTTTCTGGCCATCGATGCCGTTTCTATATCAAAATACTTTTGCTATCGATGTTATTTTATGTATAATCGAGCTACGCCCCAATACTATAAATTCGGACAGTGGGCTATTTTCCTGGATTGCCGCGGCCATAGAGACGGATGAGACAACCTTAGACGAGCTCAAAAAATGGGTTTACTGACCGGGCAAGTGGGCATCAATGATGGGAATATTGTCCTGGATACCTAATAAAATAATTCATAGTTCTCCAGGTCAATCAATGATGTTGTAGTCGAAATCTATTTCACCTTTTTTTTCTTCTTTTCTTTTTTTCCTGGTTAAAGATTACCCATCCCCATACAGGTGACTTAAGACATGATACAAATTTTTGCGTATCTCAATCAAAAGCAAATAAATCTCTTTTTTAGTGCCTAAGATGTAGCAAATGGCTGGTGCGAAAAATTGATATTTGAGCCGTTATTGTTGTTGCGATGGCTTTTGTTTAGTTAGTGTGTTGTTCTTGTTACTGCTGTCAACTTCGTTAGTTCTGATCTTCTTGTTTCAATTGAAATTATATATTATACAC